TCATCTCGGTCTAATTCATGGTGAAAGTCAGTCCAACAGGCTCACAGACTAAAGTCTGGTTCAACAATCTGAGATCCTCTGGTTTCTGAGGTACTTTGCATTGGCAACAATGGTTAATTCTTTTACAAGAGTAATAGTTTTGCCATTGTTTATTTATTTTATCAGAGGAACATCCACATCTGTATCTTTGGTTATCTAACTTGATAGAGACAAGAGAGCAATCAATACTAATATAACCATATTGGTCACATTGGTGATACTTATTCTGGAGGCAGTTTCTATAGAAATGTCCTGGTTGAGTACAGGTTTTACAAAGATCTCACTTAGAGATTTAGTAAGAGCAATAAGCAGAGATATGTCTATATTGATAGCAGTGATGATATTACTTATAAGGGCAGTTAGCAAAGAGATGGGTTGTAGAGTTGCATCCTTGATATGTTCTGGTAGAAGTACTTGTTGGGTTCTATATCTGGTTCTAAAGATCTAAATAATTCATGAGTTTTTATTAGTGGTTACTACCGGGTTAACAGTATAAGCTTCTTTAGAAAAAAGATATTCCTGTTCAAATTAGGCTAGGTCTCTTTCATTGATTACTGTTGGTTGAGCTGGCAAAGGTTGGTGTTGTTCATAGGTAGTTGGAACATAGATCTTCTTTTTATTCTACTTAATGGTATAGGCTTTATTTTTCTAATTATAACTGGCTTCAACTTTTTGTAACCAGTCATTTCCTAAAAACAAGAAGTAAGATGCAGTGTCTATAACTTCTACATCAAGAGGAATAGTGACTCCTTTAATTTTTACTAGAAGGTTTTTAATAATTCCTAGAGATCTAGTAGAGGGTTTAGTAGCTGATACAATTAAGCTTGTAGAGGGAGCTTCAATTTTCAAACCAAGTTCCTTGACAACTTTGTGGGAGATCATACTAATTGTAGCTCCTCTATCGACAATAGCATAGTAAGATCTGTTTCTAAGTTTAATATTACACTTAACAGGAGTAGTGTAAGTTGGTGTCTGTATCTGGTTAGAGGTGCTAGATTCTTCTATAAGATAACTAGCTAAGGCTGTTCTGATAGATTCATTGACTAAGAATTGTTCAAATTGTTCATAGATATAGT